ATTTTATCTTACGACAAAAGTCAAACATGGCTGCGAACGCGATTCGCTTAAAAGAAAAAAAAATGTGACTTTCTACACAGGGACCAATACACACAGACAACGCATCGAAAACAAACACAATATGTAAAGTTATATTTGATTTAATGTAATAAAAATATAAAATTGGAGAAGACGGAAACGATAAACAATGAAATGGAGAAAAGAAAGAAAACATTTAAAAATATTCTCATGAGAGAAATTTTCAATGGTTGCTTATCTATCGAATCATATTATTTCGTTGATCATTACTTCTTTTTTGTTTTTCTTTTGTGAATAGTTCGGATTAGATATTTCTTGTCTTGTCTGGGTTGAGACATTTACCTTCATATTCATTTTCGGGCATTCAACTTAGTTTATTGACTTGGTTATCATCCTGAAAGCGCTTTGCTTTAATTCATGGAAGATATAGACTATCCTGGCTCTGAATTTCCTGATTATCGCTGAAGATTTCAACTTTCCGTTTCTGGAAGATTGGGAGATAAACGTATGTGAGAGTCATCCCACAGAGCAAAGAAATAAACGTTTTCATATCTCAATGTAGAGGCTATGATCTTGATATTTATTTGTATTGAAATACAAAATGTGCCACAAAAGCTAAAAAATGGAGATGAGGAAAAGACTTGCTTTCTCTTGTCTTACCTTAAAACTAGCTAGTGTCACTCGTTGACCCATTCGTACTTACAATTTTCCTTTCATCATAACAACTCATTTACTCTTAACTGTCGCACCACGGCCACCAAAATACCTCATTTTCTCAATGAAAGTCCTAGCATAAAGTTTTATTTATACAATTCACGGGGATGAGTAAAAATCAGAACCCCAAAATTATATACAATGGCATAGATATATGTGTACAGTAGAGATGATCTTTCTGCTCAGTTAGTGTAGGGACGCACCCGGTCGTTGAACGTTACATATGAAATTGGCAATCGTTGAACGCTGCATAAGAAATTAGCAATTTGACCGTTGAACGAATTCAAAGGTCGTATTTTTAAAGAAATAGAAAGAAAGAATGAAAAAAAAACAATGAAAGAAAAAATTATTTTTAAGATGGGGAATTATATATAATATCAGTAAAGAGGGTCATGGCACACTATCTATCTATCTATCTATCTATCTATCTATCTATCTATCTATCTATCTATCTAAGTCTGTTCACGATCTATCTATCTATCTATCTATCTATCTATCTATCTAAGTCTGTTCACATCTATCTATCTATCTATGTATCTATCTATCTATCTATCTATCTATCTATCTATCTATCTATCTATCTATCTAAGTCTGTTCACGATCTATCTATCTATCTATCTATCTATCTATCTATCTATCTATCTATCTATCTATCTATCTAAGCCTGTTCACGATCTATCTATCTATCTATCTATCTATCTATCTAAGTCTGTTCACATCTATCTATCTATCTATCTATCTATCTATCTATCTATCTATCTATCTAAGCCTGTTCACATCTATCTATCTATCTATCTATCTATCTATCTATCTATCTATCTATCTTCAATACTGCCACTCTATACCTTTCTTTTCGTTGTTCAAATCATCTCCTTCTACTCATCGATACAAAAACCTTAACAAAATGAATTCCATCCTGTCGTTCTTGTAATTCTTTACTCCAGATATTTTTCTCTTTCTTTTTATTCCTTTTGCTTTGACCTTCCTTTTATTTGTTTGCCTTCTTAAACTGTGTTTCTATTCTATTTTTCATTTCTGCTATTTTTTTATTTTCTTATTGTCTTCCTTTTCTCTTTTTCTTTTTTCCTTTTTGCCTTCTTTTCCCTTTTCTCTTTTCTTTTTTTTTCTAATTTTCCTTTTTATTTTTCTTGTGCTATTTCTCTTTTTCGTTCTCTCTTTCTAAACATGTGCTTATTTCTTTTTCTTATTTTTCTCTTTTCTTTTGAATTTATCTTTTTGATTTTATTTTTAATTTTTTTCATCAAATTTTCGTTCATTTCCACTTTTTAAATTGACTTATTTTCCCCATCTGTTTTTCAAATTCTGATTCAATCTTTTCGCCTAATTAATTTCACCGGAATTCCTTTTTTATTCTTTCATTTGACTTTATATTACGCCATGGAGACCTTTTTTTCTTTTTTTGCAGCTTATCAGTGATAAAGGTCTAACAATCTATTATAAGAAGACATCATATATGATTGTTAGCAAGAGCAGCCCAAGGTGTAAATTGTTGGCGTCAAAATTAAGCTACTACATATATTAACAATCTTGTAAAAAAAAAACTAGGTTAGGAGGCAGATGTGGGGATATCTTGCGATGGTTTATTCACAGGAAACACATAAAAACACCTTCCATACTAAATCCGAAAAGTAAGCCTACACTTTCGGCGCCTATAATGTGTGTATATATATATATATATATATATATATATATATATATATATATATATATATATATATATATATATAGTTGTATATTTAGGCAGCAATCCTTCCTTTATGCATGTTTCATTAAAAACGACAGACAAGGTACTACGGTTAAGCTTTTTATTTAATTTTTCTTGTGTTCTAACAAAAGCTTTCTTTTCTGGACAAAGGGTGCGTAAGTACTGTCCAAATGTTTTATATTTCCGAGCGCTTTCGGCTATACCTTTAGCCATTATCAAGGATGATTCGATTTTCAGCTTAATTGAGTGTGTGCGTTCAGTGTATATCTTAGTGTGTGGTAGGGATGTTTTTAATTTCCGAATACGGTTAGCACATTATGGCTTTGTTCTTAGTCAATATTGTTAAGAGTTGGCTTTTTCTTTTTTATTATTAAAGCTTCCATTATTTTTAGTCTTTTTTGCAGGTGGATGCAGTTAATATACTTGTGTTTTCTACTAGTATGTTCCTAATGGAATCGGGTAAATCTGTGTGTGTTTAAGTAAGGTTATAATAACTATTAAATGCTTTAAAGTTAAGTTTATACTAAAATAGAATTTATTCTAACTAATAAGTATTAAATTGTACGATAAAATTTGAAATTAAAATTAAAAACTACCTATTTCAAAAATGTAAATCTAAACTATATTAAGTTTAAAATTTTAAAATTATTGAGGAAAAAAGAAAAAAATATATGTTATTCTATTAATTTTTTAAATAAATAATTATATTCGCTTGCTCTACTCTGTATTGAGCACTCTTTTAAGAATAGTAATTGTTGGTTATTGGAATTTATTCCGTATACACCTATCATATACTTGGTCATATACTTGGTCATATATATATATATATATATATATATATATATATATATATATTTGTGTGTCTGCGTGGGTATTTAAAACTGCACAAGATTGGTGATATATAATATAAGCTCCAAAGCGAGTTCACCAGGTTAAAGTTAGTGTTAAATATCGAAGCGATCAAGGACATTTATCCAAATTCTTTGAACTTTTAATAGAAAGCACAGCGTTAGACTTGAGGTAATATTCAGGCTGTAAACAAAATTATATTGATAAAAGTCTTCCTTCGTATTGCTTATGAGAAACACTAGACTCACTTTACTTATTTCCTTAGTAAGATAAGAAAAAAGAGACAGAAATATCTCTTTATCTTGCAACAAATATATAAGGGGTGAAATAGTAGAATAGAAGAGAAAGAAAAGAAGATAGTTTTATTAGAAAGAAAGAATAAGAAGCAGACGACAAAAAAAAAAGGACAAGCGGGAATAAAGAAAGAAAGTGACATCTCATATCGTTTCAGATGGATAAGCGGAAAGGAAATTTGCGGGTGAAACGAAAGAAAAAAACGTATATAATAAAGTTTTAGAGAAACAAAAGAGAAATATATAACTTAATATCACAAAGTTTCAAAAAGAAAGAAGAAACGAAAGTTTAAACAGAAAGAAAAGAACAAAATTAGAATCGCCTCCATTTTTTGTTTAATCCTCGCAATAGGTCGAGGAAGAAGTTAAGGTAACAAATAAATATTAATGAAGTCTTGACCACTGTAAAATAAAGGCTGCACTGAACCTTTTAGCAGTATGACACGTACAGAAGTTTTTGTCTTTCTCTCACTGGAATTTTGAATCATAAAACATTTTTCGATAAATTAAAAAAAAGTTTTTAAATTTAAAAAGAAGCGATTTTGATTGATTGTTTCGTTTTCTACCACTTTTGCAAGTTATTAAAATTCGGAAAATATCCGTACAGTCGGCTGGGGCTTCAGAATACGCCCACTTAACCGCCGCAGAGGAGCCGTCCTGGGTATGACGATAAACTACATCCGTGTCCTGGGTAAGACGATAAACTACATCCGACAACAAGGCCTCTGATCAGGAGGTTTTGAGAAGCATGGAACCACCTCTTAATTGCTGGTGTTCCCAGGTCCACACTGACCTGGGGTGGTAGCACCTGTTAGGGTCCCAGCTATGGGCAAATAGTTAAGACCTAAACTGGGGTCAAAACCCCATGAAAGTGTAAAAATATGTTTTACTACCAGCAATACATTTTTGTAAAAATTATTACCAGCAATGAATTTTTGAAGGAAATTTTTTTTTAAAAGCAATAAAGATCTCGTCGGCATTAAATAAGCCATTGAGATTGATATGCCGTAAAACAAACCAAACTAAACCAAACCAGAAAATATTTTCAGATTGTAACAATTTTGAAGGGGGAGATAATAATAATTTAGTGATACTAATTAACCCAGGAGGGAGAAGATGTTCATTTATACCTTTACCAAGCTATTTGCTCGTAAGGGAATATAACCAACACAACTCTAACTGAAATTACACTCCCCGATTAACAATTCCGAGTTATTATCCATTACACCACCCGCACATCCAACCTTATAGCACACGCGGTAATGCATCTAGGTACGGACCAGGGTCGATGTTGCTTAACTTTGCTGTTTGCGTATCTGGAAATGTTTTTGCTTGCAACGACAGTAAGTTTGCACAGTTTTTCAAGAGAATTTCACTCTACAGAGACAATCAGAATTACTGTCATATCACGTTGAATTGCTGGTTCTCTTACGATCGCTGAAGTTAAGCAACGTCGAGCCGAGACAGTATCTAGATGGGTGACCGTTTGAGAATACCGGGTGGTGTAAGCTTGGGTGTGCGAGTGATGTAAAAGCCAACGGCTCGGAATTGGAATTTGGAGAGCCGTGTTCCAGTTCCAGTCGAGTTCATTATATGCCCTTACGCAGAAATGCTCTTGACAAAGTTATGAATCTACCTCTACTCCCCCAGCTATGGGTTAATTATTATGACGTATTAGTAAATCCTCATTATCTCCAAATATTCTTACAATTTAAAAAAAAAGAAGCATTTTCTGTATTTAAACAAACTGGAAAAAAGTTGATAAGCCGTAAAAACAAATCAATCGATCGATCAATCTACAGAAACCATCGAATGACCAACAGCGATGGTCTGCCATCGATGGGCGGTGCTATGCATTCGGAAACAAGAGAAATAAAGATTCTCCAAATAAATATTAATGATGTCATGACCACTGTAAAATAAAGGCTGCACTGAACTTTTTAGCAGTATGACACGTACAGAAGTTTCTGGAATTTTGAATCATAAAACATTTATACCTTTAGCAAGCTATTAACCCATGCCTGGAGGGAGAAGACGTTCATTTATACATTTAGCAAGCTATTTGCTCGTAAGGGAATATAACGAACCCAACTCTAATTGAAATTACACTCCCCGATTAACAATTCCGAACTATTATCCATTACACCACCCGCACATCCAACCTTACAGCACACGCGGTCATGCAACACATCACGTTTTTTTTTGTGTGTAACATAAAGACATTCGGGGACAATCTTTTCAAAAGATGACGTGTATAGTTAAGATTTAGAGTTCGGGGAAAATGTGACAAGTCTTCAAGCCGCAGCGACAAACCAACATCCTGCTCGAGATATACTGTGGCCATATATGGGCAGGAGCTACACGTTCTTTATTTTTTAGCCTCGATAGAGTCCAAAAGCGTCTTTGTTTTCTTGCGGCTGATAAAGTATTTTCCATCGTACAGCTCTTCTCTCACAGATAAATTGTCGGAAACCTCTAATTGTTCTATTACTATTTCCATGAAAAGTATCCATTCATTTGTTCCGGCAGTTCTACCCTTTAAGACCCGCCATGCTTTCCACATCCCTTTGTATTCCATTGTTGAGAAGTAAGTTCCACTTGAGTACCTTCCGCCAACAAATTGTTGCTTTGTGGATCCAACTCCCAAGCGGATGCTTCAGAATCGCTACAATCTTAACCTATTCAAATCTAGGATTAGCCGTTGTATTCCACACATATCCGCATAAACTCTGCCCTTTACTCTTTAACCCTTTATATGGAGGGACTCTTGGACTCTGTATATTGTGAACAAGAACAATATTATTTTATCACATTTTTATATTTGATTTGTAAAGAAGGAAACAGACAGCAATCACTTTTAACTGCTCTTAATTTTGCCAATGACCTGTCATTACAAGTGGATGAGATGGTACGCGCACAGAGGATATGGGCCACTTTAGAGCAGGAGGCTGCAAATGTCGGTTTGCACTGCAATGCAAAGTAAACTGAGCTGCTACTCTTCAAACAATGAAAGTCCTGTTAAAGTGTAGGCAAAGAAGTGGTCAATCCTTGAAGACAGCAGATCTGGATGACCAAGACCAAGCAGCTCATCTCTCCTCTGACGTGATTCAATGGGGAAAGGACTTGTTTATTGTTATACCGGAACATACCTATTTCTATTGTAAATAGACTCTCCCACAGATAATAACCAGTAGTAGTAGCAGTCGCCAGTGGAGCAGAGTGAGTTGTGTGAGTCAGTCGATGTCGGACATTAAAGTATGAGCCCCACAACTAGATTGCTGCGTCATTAAGTATTATTTCAAGTTCTTAACGTTTTGTACGTCGAACCTAATTTAGGACCGACTTAGTGAAATACAAGCCTCCACTGTGAAAACTACTCTACAACATTTATAAAATTCAACACGTAACAAACTAGTAACATTTCACACTAGAAAGCAGACCCCGAACATTTACTTATCATGACGGATGGGCGTTCTCTCAAGTAGGCTACTTGCTTTAACCGTCTATTGGGGCTTAACTTCACTTCGGGCCTCAAGTAAAACATATATACGATCTATTGCTAGGAAAGTGGTCGTTTTATTGTATCGTTTCAGTAAGTATATATTTACTATACTCTGTCTTTACAAGAGCTAGATACGATCAAAAATGGAGAATTACTGCGATGTCTGTCCTGAAGCTTCCCACTCCTTGTTTGCCCGTCTTTATAAAATTCAAAGTAGTCTACACGGCCTTGTGAATTATTTTCCACCCTGCAACCACTTTCCCACAGTATTCTATAGCTATTTCCATGGCATGTGTTCTGGGGAGCTACACTCTTTAGTCCGACCAACCCTAACCGTTTCTAACTGGGACTCGCCATGCCCCGTACGCAAAGAAGAATCCTGATAATTCCTTTCGTATTCTTGGAGTAAGTAATAAGTTCCATTCGGACAGCCTATTCCCAAGAACTGCTGATTTTTGGCACAGGCTCCTGGAATGATGTTTTCCCAATCACTACAATCTTGACCTCTTCAAATCTATGGCTAGCCGTCATCTTTCCTGCATAACCTCATAGATTTCATTTCTTGCCCTTTCTTACGGTAATACAACTCTACACAGTAACTATCTACCTTGAGTGGCGCTTGGGTCTTGTATTGGATGAACATTAGTATAAAAACGATGTAGATATCTTCAAGTACTTAAGTTCACGGACACAGATATCTGAAAAATATGGGGGGCGTAAAACAAAGCTTTTCTGGATTGCATGTCAGAAATTAAAAAAGAAAAAGAAAAAAAGGAGTGGAGCTCCCACCTACTCAAAATATTAAAAATCTCATTCTTTGTTGAAAGAGTGGGATCTGTCTCGCTCTATGAATCTCTGATGAAAGAGCTAGATTGGTGTTGCACAAGAATGCTCAGGGTGGCACTTACTGTGTCCTTGAGAAGCCACACCTGAAATGCGGAAATATATGGGGAGGTAATGTTAAACGTGCAGCCAAGAAGGATGCGTCTAGCATGACACTGTATTAGATATGGTGCCGAAGATGCCATCAATATTATTATTATAGAAACCAAGCGACGAAAGGACAAGAAACGGAAGAAGATTCATATTATTAGACACGCAATTTTTGAATTTGTAGATCTGATGAATTGGATCGTAATTACGATTCGAATGTAATAAATTATAACCATGGAATATTAATTTTTGCGCTTATTATATTATATTCTTGCCCTGTCCTGGATATTGAACTCTACCTGGATTCTATCCTCTTGGGATATATATATATATATATATATATATATATATATATATATATATATATATATATATAATTATTTATTTAAAAATTATAACATAACTACAAAAATAGCCATTTTGTTTCAACACCTCTGGTGTTTTATCAAGTGATGATATTGAATGTAGATTGTAGAATAAAGGTTTCAAAAGATTCAAATTAATTAACCACTCCTCGTAAGGGGAAACGTTGTCACATGAGCTGAAATGACCAATCAAAATACAAGTATACGAGAATTTAAAAAACTTGACAACGAAGAAAGGTTATAATAACTATTAAATGTTTTAAAGTTAGGTTTATACTAAAATAGAATTTATTCTAACTAATAAGAATTAAATTGTACGATAAAATTTGAAATTAAAATTAAAAAACTACCCATTTGAAAAATGTAAATTTAATCTATATTAAGTTTAAAATTTTAAAATTATTGAAAAAAAAGAAAAAATATATGTTATTTTATTCATTTTGTTTCTCTTGAAATTACGTTGGAATAAAGGTTAAGATCGACTGCCCTTAACTTAATGACAACATGGATACAAGTGTATACCTGGGATTATGACATCTTGCGAAAGACAATACAAACACAATCAGATTATAATACATAAGCATGCAGACATATTTAGATATATATGCACACAAAAACAAAAAAAAGTGACGAGACAGGAAATATTTGCACCACCTTTTACAAAAAAAAAAAAAGAAATTTATACTAAACACATACAAAATGAAAAGTGCATAAAGTTACTAAACACAGACACCAATAAAGACACATACATCTACCCACATACATTGACATAGACACTCCGATATAACACCCAAGAAATATTCAAGATTGAAGGTGTTATTAAACGAATTCTAAACACTTATTAAAATATAACTTATATGGGCAAATATACACAGATAAAAATGGTCTAATAGAACAGAGAAACAAAGAATAGGGAAAGAAAGGACATTAAAACAGATATACACGTATTAAAATAACAAATTTTTGTAGTGATTTTATAAAATATTTATGTTTTATGTTTTAATTTTTAAATAAATAATTATATTCACTCTACTCTGTATTGAGCACTCTTTTAAGAATGGTAATTGTTGGTTATTGGAATTTAATCCGTATACACCAATCATATACTTGGGGTATATATATATATAGTTAAATTCCCAGATGAATTCTGTGGACAAGACAGATTGGTATCAAATGACAATTGGAAAAAAATCTTAGATTTTACCGACGCGTTTCGTCTTCCAACTTTTTCAAGGCAAAAATGAAATCGAAAGGTTTTTGTTGTTATAGTTACACTAAAAAATCCAAATTTAAAAAGATAGACGCTTCTGTCTAAGAAAAAGAAAAAAAAGGCTTAGACACAAGCGTCTATCTTTTTAAATTTGGATTTTAATGTAAAATGTAAGATTTTTTTCCAATTGTCATTTGATACCATATATATATATATATATATATATATATATATATATTGAACACTAATATATATATATATATATATATATATATATATATATATATATATATATATTTATATTTAACACTAATATTATCTATCTATCTATCTATCTAATTTGTGTGTATGTGTGTGTGTGCATGTGTGTGTGGAAAGTGAAGAACGCGTAGCTCCTGCCCATATATGGCCACAGAAGGCTGTTAGTTTATCGTTGCGGCTTTGAGATTTGTCACTTTTTCCCCGACTCTAAATCTTAACTATGTCTTTTTGTTCTCTG